TTTATGACATACTTTTTCTATATCCACAGAGCCTGTATCCCATTACAAAGGGAAAACAGACTGTTCGACATAATTAGTTCTTGGTAAATCCATGCTGGATCATCTTATCACGCTGTTATCTTAAAGGTGCTTATAAATACTTTTTTGATAATTTGTTCTAAATACGTTAGAGCAGTTTGACATTAAGCCGACTGTCCTGTAACTTCCTGACTTCCATTTTCACTTCTTTTTAATACATGGCTGACACAGACTCTATTATAATCTCCTAGTTTCTTACTTATTTTCCACAAATTCTGTAAGATGCAGCACACTGAAACTTTCCATATTCCACCAATTCCTTCTGGCTTCAAATACAAGACTGTTGTAAATAATTCATTGTTGCTCAGTAGGAATAATATCCACAGGGATTAAAAAAATCCAGTATTTGTAAAGGAACTTGTCACAGCAGTATCAGAAATAGTTTTTTTGCCTCTCTTTCACAGGGTGAAACACTGGTTGAGAAAAAATGTTAGCTCTGTAGCATCACCAAATACTTCTCAGATCATGTGCATATTCACTGCTTCCCATTTCACTATTAAGGTATCACATTCACACAAATTCAGTTTCTAATTAAAATGTGCATATCAGAAGTCTCCAGTGTAGGCTTTCCTCTTTCTAGAGTAGTTTCTGAAAGCAAAATAAATGAAAATGCTGCCTTTGCCTTTGCCCCAGCAGGAAAGGAACATGTCTCCAATAAGTAAAAGTGCACATGGATGTTGTGTGTGAAAGCAAAATAAGGAGTGTTAGTTATGAGCTGTAATGTTGTTGGTTCCCTGGAAGCAGATAAATAAAAAGGAGAACCACTAAACTTAGAAATGGCCATCTGACCTGTTCCCCAAAGCTGACTCTGCCTAGTGAGGCCATGTTAGATGGATTTACAACACATACGTACAGCATCATTTTATAGAAATTTCTACCAATCTTCATTTTTCTCCTTTCTCCCTTACCCTCAGCCTCACTAAGAGCAGGAGTCTGCTGCAGCAATTAAACTCTAGTTAAAAATGGGAGGGCCTGATAGCAAAGCTGCTCTGAGAATAACTTCATAACGATTACTGCATCAAAGAACAATATATCACAACATTATCTCCTTCTAGTAACATAATTTTTCACATTTTTTACACTAATCTTAGCTGCTGCTAGACATGCCTCAAGGGATTAAAATTTGGTGATGAATTTGTGGGTCTCATTTGCTGTACAGTCTGCTGCCATTAATGTTTTGAAATAGTTAAGCACTTCCTAATTTTAAACAGAAACTTTAGAAAATACTTTCTTTGGAAGAAGAAAATACATGTTATGAATTTTAACATACTGCGAATGCCTGTAAATAAATCAATGCTTTTAAGATTATTTTCATTTTCTTAAGTGAAAGGAAATGTGTCAGTTTTCAAATAAGAAGGGGAGCATTACTATTGCAAATGATAATGGAGAAAAAGGCAGGAAAACTCTTAAAAAGCTTACCCAATGCAAATGAACCCCTTCTGCCTACAACTCAGAGATTCACAAAACTGGGCAAGAATGGAGCGTCCTTCTTTGAAACCTAAACATTCATGCCTTCAGGGAACAGTCAAGGGAAAATGCTGGAAAAAACAATCTCAGGAGCTTCTTAATCCACATATTCTCTTTCCCAAATGAAAATCTGGAGAGGGATGACGAGGGTAAATCCCTAAAAAGGCCAATGAGGCACTGTCACAGCTGCCCCTGGACATGCCCAAGGCCAGGTTGGATGGGGACCCAGGCAGCCTGAGCTGGTGGGAGCAGCCTTCCTGTAGCAGGAGTTTGGGGCTGGCTGGGCTTTTAGGGTCCCTTCCAACCTGGGCCATTTTATGATTCTATGATTCTGTGATTCTATTTAATAAGCACACTGCTTATTAAAAAAGGTTCTAAATTTCTAAGACTATTCTTTATTTATGCATTTCTTGACTGTCTTTCTTGTCATATTTATACACTGTATCAACAGGAATGAAAAAACTTGTCTGACTGCAACTATCCTAACTACCGAGTACATTTTTCTATGAGCTCTGATATCTGCCCTTTTAACTTTTCACATGGTTCCTATTTTCCTCACATGCTTGGAGGATAAGTGATTGCTAAGATCTCCATTACACAGGTGGGTGACAGAAACATAAAGACATCTGTTCTAGCCAAAATATAGTGTATGTGAAGTTGGTAACAGAACAGGAAATTGCTGAAATTTCAGCCCATTTCTTGCGACACACAGAATATTCCTACCTGACAATAGGATGATTAACTTCTGTGTATCAATCTTACATGTGAAAAATGATACTGAGGTTCATCTTACAATAATGAGTTTTATATAACTGCAAAAATAATGCTGTGTTTTTTGTTTTTTGTTTTTTTTTTTTTAGGGAAATTAGGCACCATGTGTCTCCAGCAATTTAGGTTGTCTGGTGGTGCACAATCTGCTGCAGTTAACTGCCATCATCTTACAGAATTGGTTCTAATGAGCTGATGTCTTCCCATAATGAAAATATCTACAGCATCTTTGTATTGCAAATGCATGCCAATTTTTTTAACCCAAAAGCTCAAAGTTAACAGCTTAGAATACAGGATATTTTGTGGGTTGAAGATGGCATAATTTAGCTAAGCTTGCAGTTTAATTCATACAGAGATCAGCAGACAAGGCAGTAGTTTGGGAGAGTTGGCTGCATAATCAAAACCAAAACATAGCACTAAAAATGATGAAAGATGGGTGTATCCTGGCCCAGTATTCCGGGAAACTGATTTACTTTCTGATCTCTGCCATGCATTTCCTGCAGAATACTGTGAAGATCACTTAACATCTTGGTGCTTTATTTCCCTATGTGTAAAGCAAGGAAATGAAGACTATAAAGAACTTAGGTCAAGGGGACTTCTACTTAGGAATTCAGGGTTCCTGGCATAACTTGTTTGCAAAACCTCTTCCATGATGAGTCTTCTGGACTGCACTCACACTGCTCATCATGTCACAGGGCTTCCCTTTGAGAAACTGTAATTGATCCATGTTTGTACGCTTTTGGAGAATGACAGGTTGGAGGGCTGTGCTAGTTAAAGTCTGCAGGTTGCGGCATGGAGGAAGTCTTTCTTACGGCAAGAAATTATTTTTTTTCTACACTGTTTCTCTGTAAAAAGACTTTGCACTATAACAAGCCATTATTTTAAATAATATGGAAGATAGATAATATCATAAGCCTTTCCAAATCTAAGCGCACAAAAACTATTACACTCACCCAATATCTTTCACTAGGGTTGTTATGAATAAAACCTCTTCATTTATTTCTATCTTCACAAAAGCTTTTAAAAGTGTAGACTTCTGCAGGAAACAACTATTATTAATGAAGCAGCTGGGTTTCTTTTTAAAGAGGTTACTTTGAAGCCATTTGCTCTGCTAATTATTAACAGAAACACTGATGATATATCTACAGTGCTTTGGGACACTGAATATTATCTAAAATCCTTTTAAAAACCATTTCAGGAGAATAAGCCATATCAGAAGTGTGAATTAAAACTGTAAAATAATACACATGGAAACCAGCAGCAGAAATGATTAGCTCACATTTCCCCCCAGCAATTTTGCCCACAATTTCTTATGCAATGTGAGAAGTATTGCTTCACAACAACATCGTAATTTTGCTAATGTCAGTTGATAGTAAAGTATCTCAATAAGTAGTAATTGTTCTGATGAATAAATGAATGTGAATAATAACATACGTAGATATAATAGAGCAGCTCAGAGAAAGATAATTTTATGGAATCAATTATTTCATTATTTGTTTTTATTCTCCTGTGAAATTTTGCACACGCACACACAGTGACTGCACAGAGAGCACAACTGGGCTCAGGCAAATCTTCCTGGGTCACCACGATAAAATTACAGAACATGGAAGCCCTAGGTCCTCAAATGAGCAGCAGTCTGTCTGCTTTCTGCAGGCAGATAGTGAGATGATCCAGAAAGGCAACCTGGGTTGATTTTTTAAACCAAATTGGTTTCCAGAAGATGTTGACAACACCACACTACCTCCAGAAAGTAACTTCATTTTGACAGATTATCAAATTCTCACCAGAAATCATCATCATCTAGATTTCTCTTTGTTGAACACCTCTGCTTGGCATTTTGGGACACCCTTTCAAACATGTCCACAAAACCACAGTCCTCATCTATCCCCAAACCTCGTCTACAGTCCCACCTTGCATTTACAAGATGGAAGTGGCAAGGCACTAGGCTGGTAAGGACTGCCATTTACTTTCTAAGACAAATTTGACATACTTGACAGTCAAATCATCCACAGAGGTTATGTCATTAGGTCTCCAGAGATTTCCAGTGGTTGATTTAACAAAGAGACTACTTTAAGATAAGTTTAGGTTAGGGGGTCATCCCTTTCTACTTTTCTAAGAAAAGATAAATACAAACGTAACAACATATTTTCATGCTTTCTATAGCTCTTCTTTAATGTTTGTAGAGTGGCCTTTTGGGGTTAATTAGCACTGAGATACTTCACCCATGAACTGTTTTCTAATTCAATTTGTTTAATGCAAGAAACCATAAATAATTACAAATCAATTACCAAGTTTATTCTACACTTCACCAACCAAAAGAATCAAAACAAAGTGTTTTTGAAGGTGATTGAGCAAAATGAACAGCTTCCACAAGCCTAGGTATTTGTACTTCAATTTATCTTTTCCTTCACAAAAACACTAAATCAAAATACATTTTGCTAAATACGGGAGCTACTCTTGCAAAAGAAATCAATTATGTTCTTAAGTTTAAATCTTTTTTTTTTTTTTTTCCCAGCTATGCTCTAATGTATCACTGTACCTTAGAAATGTACCCTGGGGAAAATGCTTTTGTTCTTCACTAAAATTCCATGAATAACATTATGTAGGAGTTAATTTATGATAAATGATTTAAAATCTTAACCTAGAATGACTTCTTATTCAAATGCCATCACAAAATGGTACCTCACCCGCAGAAAGGAGTCAAGGGATCCATTCTCCATGTATTCAACTACAATCATTACTGGTCTGCCTGCAAAACAGCAAAGAAACACATTAGGATTACAGACATATTATGGGGTTTTTATATTTCCAGCTGTTTGGCACAGATTAGTCACATTATTTAAATATGTTGCCCATTTTCAAAATCCTCATTTATTTGTGTTATTCTCTAAGGATTATTTTCTTTCCTTTTTTTTTTTTCTTTTTTTTTTTATTTTTTTTGGCTAACAACAGTGAATCAGCAGACTGTGCATCATTTGCTCTGGTGTATTCACACATTAAAGAGAATGAAAAAAGTGACTATTACTTCCAAACAAGAGTTCTTGCTGTACCTCCAGCTAAGAACAGCTCTACCTAACTTAAATATACTTTGGGTATGTATGTATCTTTCAACAATACTTTAGAATACATTTGAGGCAAGGAAAAAGAAGCATAAGCAATGTCCATGAAATTGCATGGTCAGTGCCATGATTTTCCCTCTCAAAGAAAAATATCATAACAATTCAGGGGCATACAGATAGACTCAAAAATAGAGTTAATGCACAAAAGCTCTCCTAGATTTGGTGTGCATGTGTGCACATATGAGTGCATGTTTTCTTAATCCAGCAGAATTCTGAGTTCATATGTTTGTATGTTTATTTATGTGTATACATTAAGTTACCCAAGTAAAAGTTCTGCCTAACCAGAATAGCTTTCCTGTTTGGTTCCAGGACAGCATCATATCCAAATTCAGCCTTCTTTAAAACTGAATTACAAGCTATTTTAATTTCTTAAGAAAACACCCAAATATAAAGACAAACTTTAAACCTTGACACTTTACTAAATACTGTTTCATTGTTTATATCCAAGACTAAGCCACCACTCTGGAACTGTCTAACAGGAGAGGCTCAACAGGCATGCTAACCAGGCTGCACTGTGAGGTCTCTTTTAGAACTGTTAGTATTGTACACGAGCCATTCTACTCTATGCAGTGTATGCTAATAAGATAGCAAAGGAAGTAGAAAGTCTCAAATTGGCAAACTTTTCTTTTCCTGACAATGCCTGTCCCTTTTGGGATTTATGTGAAATCAGTGCTGCTTCAAGTGGTGAAGACACAAGTACTCCCTTTCCACGTTCTGTAAATATTAGCTGTTCCAGTGTTTTTCAAATCCAAAAGAAAACTCTTTTAGGACTTTTCCCCCACCTTTGAAATTACCGTTATGTTTTATGTGGACACTGTGATGATAAATAAACACAATATTCAAGGCGAGAAATTACAGAATAGCATTATGAAGATTCCAGCACAATTTTCCATTTCTGTACATGCCAGCATTCTCTTCACTTTGATTAATAATGGAGGTGTTAATTAAACTGTCTACAATACACAATAAGCCACAGCTAGTTATCTTTCCTATGTTGTTACAGTTCACCTTGTATTTAAAAAACTGAATGAGCAGTTTCTCTGTTCACAGAATCACAGAACTCTAGGAGTTGGAAGGGACCTCTGGAGATCATCCAGTCCAACCCACTGCTAAAGCAGTTCCCTAGAGGCTCCCTTCCCTGAGTGTCAACACTGAATTCCACATGTACTGGTGATGCTTGCTGATGTGGCTTATTTTTGTTTTTCTGGAGTCTCTCACAATATCTTTTTCTTCTAATTTCTTCTAATAAAATTTGGAGTTCTTGTTGTATTCACTCACATGTTTAAGTTCTCAATGAATAAAACAGTGCTTAATAATGTTCAGACAGTAGACGTATTTGAGTATGTGCAAAAATTTTCAGCTACATACTTGATTTTTATCAATAGCCTTTCTGAAATGGAAGAATTACCAAATTATCAGCTTTTTCTTAATTATTATTTTTAAATGATCTCACCTGCAAGTGTGAATCTATTACCTATTCAGTTTATTTCTTTTCATCGGCGTCTGTTGATTAAACTCTCGTTTTGTGCTTCTAGAGTTCAGAGAATTTTAAAAATTAATGCTTTCTTCACTTTGCTTATGCTGACTAGTAGTATAGCCTACTCTTTTTAGTTTCTGAATGTTTTACAAATCTAATAACATCAACTGTCAGAAAATGTAAGGTAAGACACAACCTGATTTTAAAGGGTTGGAAAAACAGGTTCAGAAAATCAAGTGGCCATCTCCATCCATAAAGCACAGTTCCCTCTGTCAGGCTGCATTTGGTTACCAACACACAGTGCTGTACTTTGTTCCATGGTCAATACCTTGTAGAGGCACTTCAGTGATTCCACTGTGCACGTGTGTGAACAGGCTCTCCCATTCACAGATAAAGGAAGGGGACTAGCAGTCGGCTCTGGAGAAAGTGGCTGAGATGTTGGGATGTGAGTCTCTGGTAAATGCAAGGAGAGAATCTAACATTGGACATCTCTATGCAGACAGAGCCACTGGTCCCAAAGGCAGGCAGTGGACAGATGGCACCATACTCTGCGAAAATCAGAGATCCTGATATGAATACCCACTGAAATCCATCAGTACCAGATCTGGGAAGCAAACTGAAAGCACAGCTCTACTTCTGATGACCTAAACATGATAAAGCATGATCTGGGATGCCTAATCTTTAGAAGGTCAGAGGGTGGTGATCAGCACAGGACTGCCATAAAATAAAATCCCTGGTTAGTTGCTGTTAGTTTCATATTTTAGCCGCAAAGAGCAGATGTTATCCTTTATATACTTTGGTATAATCTGAGTCCTGAAAAGATTAAGGTCTGTGCTGAATCTTGTACAACATGGAATACTGCTTTTGGTTTAAAGTGTACCACAAAAATGACTTTGAAAAATAATACCAGCAAACTAGCTGGCAAAAAAAAAAAACTAACAAAAAGAAGAACAAGAAGATGACATAAATATTACTTAGATTATGAAAATCCATGTTGTTTTCATGATACTGAGAAAGATGAATTTTTCATCCTCAGAACAAGGACTGGAATCAATGTTGATAGCATGGGGTAGAGAAGTCTCTGAGAAAAGATATCTGAGTATTTTATCATGGGGTTATGCAATTCTGGAAGGCGTAGAATTATTTTCCTATTTTTATGATTGCTTACACAGATGAAACATGGACAACCTTACTTGAAGGAACAGATTTAAAGATGAACAGAAATGGAAGGCTGTGGGGGAAGATGTAACTGTGAGCAAGTCAGCAAAGGGTTTTCAGACTCCTTGATAGACCCTATCAGTGTGAAACCTTGGGAGTCTGGAGTGTAAGACAGAGAGCAAATGGTATCTGTTTGTGTCTAAGGGTAAACAGGAGGTTCTTTTTGTAGGTATTGTTAATCTTATCACACTTAAGAAACCTTTCATCCTTTATCACTGTGTTTTGGGAGAAGCTAGACCAATCAACTGATTAGAGGGACAGGAATTCCTGGCTTGTAAGTGAATGGTATATAAGATGTATGTTGATCACAATAAAGAGAACAATTCTGAGGACTACAATGATGCTACAAGAAACTGTGAGAGCTCTCTAACTCGACTGAGTGATGACAGAAGGCAATACAAGATGGGAGTTGGGGAAGCTCTCTAGTTGAAAGACTTGACTAACTCAGGTGAGTGTTTTCATATAGAAACAGGCACTAAACAGTACATGAATAAGAACCACTCATTTTACAGTCAAGATCCATATAAGAGAGGGCATGGAATAAGGACACTGAAAATGGTGTCAGGTTTTTTTCAGGATAAAAGTTGAACACCTGAGAGTTAAAAGCTGCAGGTACTGCCAGAAGAGAGCGCTCAACTTCATGGCAGAGTTGGGGGGACAAAATACAAAATGGTTTGAAAGTGGATTCAAGGTTCTAGTCAGCAAAACAAGTCATTCTTGCACCAATTTCAGACACCCAGAAGTGCTTGAGTGGGGAGTACTGTAAGAAAACATTTTTAAAGTATGCACACTACATACTAAATACACCAATATGAAACTACAATCCTATTTATACATGGCATATTGACCCACTTTGACTGTTTCTGTAATTCCTGCACAGCTCTTAACTATTTCTACCTTACCCTTCCACCTGCCTCGGGTACTGGAGAAAGTAGCATTCTCTGCTTGCACAACATGAAAGGAGCAGCAATGGCAGACCTGTCAGACTCCCTGCATCTAGGGAAACTGGACTGAACACATGAAAGCAGTATCAGTGCTTTATGTGATCCAGAAAAAGGAACACGGATTCCATTACTCAAAACTTAGATGAATCTGCAGGAGGTTCTGGGGTTATTTGTGGTTTTTGATGCAAACATCACCTGGTGACAGGTGGCTGGCTGATTTTGACAAAGTATTCATTTTTCCCTGAGAAAGTTTGTCATTAGAATTCTCCCACACGGCTCTACTGTAATGTCAATGAAACAAAACCAGCATAAATTACAAACATCCCATCTTAGTGTCATACCACCTCAGAATTCATGTTACAGTTTTGTGTTTTTCACTGATCAATCTGCTTGACATTTTTTTTATATGCAAAGGAAAAAAGGAAGCCGTGTGATGCAGAATGATGTGAAATAGCAAGCACATTTAAAATTCACAGTATATATGTTTTAGTTCTCTTTTTTTTTCCATAGGATTTTGATAGCATGTAATCTAACTGAATGGTAGAGTGACGCGTAAGGAGGAGAATTTGAAGCGTCATATCAATGCCAAAATATTCAGCTTGTTGTCTCCTGTTGTCATTTTAAATAATGCAGCAAGGCCCACTTTAATTAATGTTTTATGTAAGATTAATCCACAAAAAAGAACGCATTTAGTATATGCTCATTTCTACAGTCTTTACTTTTAACTAAATCTTTTATTCCCATTATGGAAATAGAACTTTTAACATAAATAGAATTATAGAATCATTCATGGAATCATAGAATGGCCTGGGTTGAAAAGAACCACAATGATCATCTAGTTTCAACCCCCCTGCTATATGCAGGGTCACCAACTACTAGAACAGGCTGCTCAGAGCCACATCCAGCCTGGCCTTGAATGCCTCCATAAACAGGATATTTACTCTTCCACTCACAGAGCAAAATCTTTGAATCTGCTCTCTAGTTCTTCTAA